CTACTCGTTGAGCCAATTGACCCAAGTTGTCAAATTCTTGTCCTAGCAGCCTTTCTTTCCACATCGACAGCATTCCTTGAACAACTAAAGCAGCTAGTTGATCATCGGCCAAGATTAAGGAGAAGCACAAGTTTCTGATTTCTCGGAACCCCTGAAGAAATTTAGTGCCCAATTCATTAGTCTTCTGTCTTATAGTTGTCAGATCGGTAATCTTCTTTTCTCCAGTCCCAGTGTAAAAATATGTATGAAACTTCTTCTCCAGGTCAGCCCAATTGGCAATGGAATTGACTGGCAATGATGAAAACCAAGTGAAAGCTAACCCTGATAAGGATAGAGAGAAGAAACGAACTCGATGGGCATCCTCAACTGACGCTTCACCTAATTGTGTAAGATACCAACTGATATGTTCTATCGTGCTTGTACTGTCTTGGCCAGTGAACTTAGTGAATTATAGGAGCCTATAATTTGTTGGAAGAGCGACCAAATCATACCATTCTGGATATGGGCGTTTGTACGAAAAGGTCAGCCCTTTTGGCTTCAGACCGAACTGATTCTTCATCATCTCGGTCACCCTCAGCAATAATTCATCAGCTTGCAGATTTGGATTTCTCTGCACCTGCTGACCCATCTGTGGATTGAAATCTCGTGTGCCCTGGTATCCTAGATTTGGCATCATGTGAAGGGTGTTATAATCCGTGCCATAGTGATACCCTTATGGAATCTTAATCTGCTGGGTCCTTTGCTGGCTTGCTGCTTGAAGTCTCTGATTATAGACATAATGATCTATATCTCTACGGATCCTTTGAATTGATGGTGCTATTTTTTGAGTTGACGACGGTATATGGCCTGATGGGCCAAAATTGATCACCTGGTTCTGACTTTGTCCCACCGGCTGTTGCACATGCTGTACTGATGGTCAAGGATTGTATTGTGTCTGATTTGCAGTAGTTCCTTGAGTTTATTCAGATGAACCCTGAACTATCTGGACATCACCACTACCAGCCGGTGCTGCTTCTTGATGACTGGTACCAACTTGATTGGTCCCTTGGGTCGACGGATCTAGAATGTTGTAATAAGCCGGTCCGCCTTGACCAACTGGAAATCCATGAATCGCTTCTTTCATGGCGTTGTAGAATACATCCACGAAAGCTTCATTATGGCTTGATATGGCATCATGAATAGATTTGTCTACAACTTTCTTAAAGAAACGCCTGTCTTTAGCTTCAGTTGTGTCTGTCTGCCCGTGTAACAGAACTCTTGGTAGTGGAAATTTCTAAACATTTGTGTTGTCACGTGTTTTGGTGTAGGACAACAAACATTTGTTCTGAAATTCTTCTGTAGCTTTGCTGATGATACCCTTATCCCTATCAGGTAGATCTTCATAATATAGCATAAGGATGTTGTTGTTGTTGTGAACCGCCATGACAATTGTGGGGTCCCACCGGGTGTGCCAGAAACGTGTGTCGACACAGAATTTTCATCCCGTGCCGAGGACACACGTAGCAAGCTAGAAGGGTCTGCTCGATGGGGCTGTAGATCCGCCTAACTTCAGCGTAGGGGTGGTTGATCCTGCGCACTCCTCCCGAGACGTGCCAGTCAATTTGACCCTGTAATTGACAAGGAGAGAAAATTCATCAGTAATTAAGGGCGAAACTTGCCGGTGTTACCAGACAGTCCCGAATGTGCGGCTATGAGAGCTGATATGAAAGGAGATTGACTAAATAGTCGATTCTAGCATATTCATGAGAATAAATCGAATAAAGCTCATTGGGTCGTATAAGAAGAATCGATTATCATTCAGGATAAATATCATTATTTAAACAAATATTAATCAATGGCAATAAGATGTCAACAATGATCGGTTTGTGTTGTGCCAATGATTACAAGTAACCGAACCCCTTTTTATATAAAGAAACAATTCAACACCATTTAACCGTTTAATAAAGATAAATCTAATAAACATGTTAGATCTCATCTATCGCTATGACTAGTGGGGCATGAGGCAGAATCATGTAAGCCGTAGAAATAACGATAGACTCGATGACCCTAACTCATTACTAATATCAGTGGGGCATGAGGCAGAATCATGCAGGCCATAATACAATAATAAGATCATGGGGCTAACATGTCTTTCAACCTATCTTTACTTCAACGGTTTCGTGATGCAAAATGTTCGTAAAAGCACTCAATATCGGCTAAAATAGCCGATTCAGGCATAACGCACAACTAAAGTCATGCCTTATCATGAATAGATCTATCAAATAACGATCCCCACTCCACGGTGCTAACAGTGGGGTGTGAGGCAGAATCACACCGGCTGTGATAACAGGCCATGGAACGATTCTCGCTAGCCAATAAATCTACTCAAGACACAACACGCCTTAACCGCATGCTATGCATGATCAGGATTGACATAAAACAGCCGATAAAACATAACTCATCGTTTAAGGTGTAGATTAGATCAATTTAGATTAGCAAACGATGGGCTAAACAAGATATAAGGCCAATTCGGATCAATCCCAATCGGACAGAGTGATATTGTTGTAATTAGATAAATAATGAAAGCAATAAGCAATATCGGTAACTTAATGAATCTACCAAAGACTGCCATCCTAAGGTAGAGCCGATAACTTGACCTTGATCTAGTTCATGCAGTGGGGGTCGACCGGATCGATGCAGCCATACTTGAACTAGGCAAGAGTCGATAACTAACTTATGCCAGAGTCGCAGTGGAGGTCAACCGGATCGATGCAACCGTACGAACATAGGTATAAGCCATGATGGTACTTGCAACAAGCAGTGGAGGTCGACCAGATCGATGCAGCTGTACTTGCTGAAGAACTCACCGAGATCTACACTACTCCTACTCCTAAGGGTGGCTGGAGCCGAAAAAGTAAATGACTTGTATATTGGATTGATTGTTGTTTTTTTACAATAGCCGGGCTTTGATATTTATACCCGGGACCTGCGCATGACTCCTGCCTAAGTACGACTCATCACAATTTTGACCCTAGAGAAAACATTCCTAATTTAAGATAATTTGGACTCTAATCTTTCCCCTTTTTGTAGAGTCCAGCATGTCTCATCCTGGCGCCGATCACAACCTTTGTCGTTATCCGCTGGCGTTATCTAAAGAAAGTCGATTCTAGTTTTTGCATCCGAATCAGCTGGTTCTGATCTGCACGCAATTGATTCCTTGATGACATAATCTTGGGAGCTTTCGAGTCCCTACGACTCTTCTTCCAAATTTTGGTGTAAACAATATGTTGTAAGTGTTTTATCTTGATATTGCAAAAGTAGATCTGGTGTTGTACATATTGCAATAGGACCACCTGCCGCAGTCGCCTGCTGAAGTTCCTGGGGTGCCACCGAGCGGCCGCATAATGTCCTCGCCAGAATGGGCATGGAAATGCGTACGACGCACGAGCGGTCTCCGCGTGTTGTAGGTCAGGTGGGTGGTGTGTGCGGTCCGGGTGGTGTGGGCCTCGTGTTGGCGCAACGGGGTGTAGGCGTGAGAAACGAGGTGCTGACACCGGCATCTGGACGTGGACGTCCGTTTAGAGTCCGAGCGCTAACAGTCGCCGTTCTGATTCTGACAGGGATATACGCCTGGAGTACGTCTGTGTGAGAAAAAAAGAGATAAATATATCTTGGTGTGGAACGAGGGCCCCGACCGTCGGAAAAGTTGGAGTCTGTCGCGCACGGGTGCATCATGAAACCAAAAAAGCATGGGTTTTATCTAGAAATTTGGAATTATAATTTGTGTAATTTAAAAAAAGAGTTGTCAAGCGCTCAAGAAGAAAACTAGATTGTTCCTATGATCACTAATTAGTGTGTCAACTAAGAAAAATATTGATGTGACATTATAGCTAAAGACAAAAGAGAAGAAAATGGTTTCTTGTATATGAAACTATGTCTACACCACAACCAAGATACAAAGACATATGATTGGTAGATAATACTAGAGAAAAGACAACTGATCGGACAAAATTTAATTTTGAAGAAACTATCCATTGGAAATGCGATTTCTATGTGTAGTGTCTACTTGACTTTGTAAGAGTATGGAAACCATCTCTAGATATGGTTTATGGGTTGGGGCAAACATTCCTAGCGATGCAGCTAATCGAAGATGGCCGATCACTTCTATGTGTGCAAGCCTCCGACGGTGACACCATGGTCCCTGACGTGGTGTGCACCTTCGCACATGCTTGTCGTGCCACCACTAGAGCGGGCTGTCGTGTCCAAGGGACGGGGAATTTTTTGTGGCCTGTGGATAGAAAATTGGCCTGTAGTTTGGCTATGGAGTTTATCTCTATCTCTATCTCTATCTCTACCCTTATAATACACCACTTCAAATTATCCCACAGTTACCAAACAAATCACACCTCTACGGTCACAACCTAAACTACGTCCACCCCACAAAACGCACACAGAAAAAGACAACATTAAAAACGTGCGCACCAGATTAACCCTCACTCATTCTCTCTCCTTACTCAACAACATCCAACGGTCCTCCTTTGGATGTGCTTTGCCACCAGCGACCGCCCATGAGCGACGCGCGAGACCGTGGCAACCCCCCCCCCCGCCCCAGCGATCGCAAGACCGTAGCCCTCCCCCAGTGACCGCATGAGACCACCGCGAGACCGCTCACACTCGCGTCCCCTCTCTCTCGATCGCGCTCATGCTCGTGGCAGCTCTCACGATCGCGCGGTAGAGATCATGGCCAACAATGCCCGGGAGCGGAGGACATTGCCGCCCAGTGCCCGGGAGCGGACGACGTCGGTGGTGAAAGAAAGGCTGCGACGCTTGAAACCTAAACCCTAGCAGGTTCCATGGCAGCGTAGGCAGGCCGTTGGCGGCGAATGGGTGGAATACCTCAGCGGCAGTGCCGTACTGCGGCAGAGATCGTGGGCAGCGGCCGTGGGCGGAGGACGTTGCCGCCCAGTGCTCGGTAATGGATGTCATCGTCAGCGACACGCCTGAACCCTAAACCTCGCTGAATGGGTATGACGCGGCGGCGCACCTGACGGAGGAGACAAAAAACGCCGACAAGAACGGCCCCATCGCTATCCTCTCCAGCATTGGCATCATCTCCGTCTCTCGGCTGGGCGTACATCCTGGCCCTCATCTTCAGCATCTAGGTACTTGCTTGCTGAGGAAACTAACACATGTGCAATGCATTGCAGCCAGCTGTCGATTCCTCTCACAAATGTCATCCCATGTCAGATTAATTGATTAAGAAAAAAAATATTCTATAATATTTGAAACTGCATAGAGAAGGTAGCAATGCGGATGTGGTAGCTGGATAGAGATAGCAATGCAACGTCCTCATATTTGCATCTTTTAGATTTCTACGGATCTACATGAATTCTACTGCGGTTAATTAAAAACAAAAAAAGGCCCTATCAAACCAGAAAGCAGATCACAGTGCTTTAGATGACATAACAAACAACAACACAGCTACGAGCGCTTCCTAGGCTGTGGCAGAGTTGCTTTTGATATTTTTATAACCTTCTCAGTTTTAGTTCGACCACCTGTGGATGAGTCTGAGCGGAAGAGGGAACAGAGGAATAGAAAACAACAAGAATACCGAGCAAGGATAAAGGCTAATGAAACTGACGAGCAGAGAGAAGAGAGGAATAAAAATTGTCGGGAACAACGAGTATTGAAGAGGACAAAGTCATCGACCTCGCATACTATAGGGCCTGATCATGGTATTGCTATTTTTTTTCAATAATGCATCCTTTCTTTTTTTTTCAATGTTGATCTTACTCCTTGATTGATGATAGGTCAACAAGCACCATATGGAGTGTGTTCAGGTATTCTCCAAGCATCAGATGCTGAGGACAAGGAAAATGTGTGCCTGGAAAACAACACGGATTGGCTACATAAAAATTATAATTATGTCCGTACAAGACAACCGACCTCTGATACTTCTTGTGTGCCCAACAGCCTGACAAGCCACAATCTGTTCAATGCAACGGCAACTGCAGGTGCTATCCTTGTATTTTTTTCATTTCTGCAATCCATGTTGCAACTTCGACAATGACAATGTTTTCCACCCAATGGTGACCAGTTACCAGCTCAAATAGGCAAAGGGCCCTCGCAAAACGAGAGAGGTACAATAATATGGATGAACACAACAAGGAAAACATGTTGCAGAGAAATAGGGACTACAAGAAAAAGATGAGAACACAGTCAGCCGGTGACTTGGCAAAGGAAACATTGCATACAGTACAAAATGATATAGAATATGATGGTGCCTTGATCAAGCCTATAAACAATCAATCTGATGAATGTGTGTTCATTTTCTTTTTTTTCCAAAAAAAAACACGTTTATTTTATTTTGATAACACACTCAGTCAATGTGTTCTATACATAATTGTTGGACCAAACATCATGCAGAGGACCATCTGGAGGCACCTCGTGCTTTGGATATTGATGATCTTCTTGATGACGAAGAGACCAGGCAGTACGTTGGTGAAGGTAAAATTATTTTGTGTGGCGCCTTCGAGTAAATTAATTTTGGTGAAGGTAAAATTTATTAATGTTGTGTAATGACGGCCAATGCTTGCTTTCATAGCAGATGGTGCCTTCGAGTCCTATCATGTTAGTGTCAATGGTGTTGATCTGAATAACAATGAAGATCCTTACAATTATGTCTACCAAAATTTGCCTGATAGGCACCATGTTCTGAGAAAGGTGCCTAACTGCTTGTACTTTGGAGCAATGAGATTTCAATATGAACCACCTAGATTCTATTGCATGAAAGGAAAGATAAAAGTACATGTTCCACAAGTGCCTGATGAGTTAAAAAGGTTACCCACAAGTCAGGCAGATAATGATGCAAAATATTTCAGGCAAAACATCCGGTACTTCAACTCTCATTTCTCTTTCACGAGCCTTGGAGTAATCGTGGATCGAGAAGTTGCCACCACGGCAGGGACAGGTATATATACATTTTGTGTGCATGGGGTCTTGTACCATCGCCTGGACCATTTGGTTCCAGGTTCTAAAGGGCCTCGCCACTTGCAACTCTACTTTTATGATACGGAGGATGACAGTTTGGCACATAGAAAAAAGAGATTGTCTGACCTAGATATCAATATTGTCAGAACTATGCTGCGAATCATGGAAGGCAACCCATATGTAGAGACCTTTAACAGAGTTGGAGCTATTCCAAATCTTGATGACTATGTAATTGAGCTCAATACTAATGTCACACTAGACCAGCGAAGGTACACATGTTCAGAAATATGTTTGTGTATTGCTAAATGTTTTTATTCTACACAAAATATTTGATTTATTTATATTACTAAATGTATATAATATATGTTCCTTTGCTGAAAACAAGGTACAATGCACCCACGGCGTCACAGGTGGTAGCTATTTGGTCAGATGGCAATGATCCCCAAAGATGTTTTGATAGAAGTGTGCTTGTGTATGCCAGAGGGGATCACCCGCTCTATATCAAAGCATATCATGGATGCTATGATCCATTGGCATATCCATTATTTAACCCTAAGGGGGAAACTGGCTGTAATAAATTTATGTCGTACAATGATACAGTGACTGATAGGGAAGGACACACCTCTGTTGATCCAACAGATGTAGCAGATCCAACATGTACCAAAAATGATTTAACTTCCAATGCCTTAATAAAATGCATGGGTACATACTAATATATAAATTCTGGTTTGACATAGAGCAAGGTGAGGATGACGTGGACAATCAACAAGGTGAATACATGAATACCATGGTGGAGGAAAGACATTCTGGAAGATTTGTGATAGCAAGAGAGTACTATTGTTATTTGATGCAAGTTAGAGAGGGGCTTTTTAACGAGGCTTGATTGGTATTCTAACCCTGATAACTAGAAACTCATACGGGCGAAACTATATCAGGTGAGTTATGCAATGTTTTATTATTGCAATAATATAATATGACACAACAATTCAAAACTAAAAATAATCATAGATGCTCTATATTTTCTATTTTTACGTAGGGTTTAGTTGATGTAATTTCTACTAGAGAGACAAGGGCTTCAGAGGTTGGCAAGAGAGTAGTGCTACCTTGTAGTTTCCTAGGTGGCGATCATGACATGATGCAAAGATTTCTTAATGCAATGGCTATAGTCCAGCGTTTTGGAAAACCAGATTACTTCATCACCATGACTAGCAATCCGTACTAGGAGGAGATTACTCAAAATCTTGAGCCTGGCCAAGAACCATAAGATAGGTCTGAGCTAGTTTCAAGAGTATACAGGGCCAAGCTACGGTCCTTGATGGATTTATTGATCAAGAAAAGGTATTTTGGAGAGGTGGCAGCATATGTCCGTGTCACTAAATTCCAAAAGAGGGGGCTTCCACATGAACACATCCTACTAGTTATGAAGAAAGGCAGTAACTTAACAACCCTAGATGCTTATGACAAAGTCATTTCTGCAGAGCTACCAGACAAGGATAAATACCCTGTGTTGCATAGTCTGGTCATCAAGCATATGTTGCATGGCCCATGTGGGGTTTTGAATAGAAAGTGTGCTTGTATGGTTAATGGAGAATGCAGCTTTCGCTATCCTAGACAGTTTTGGGCAGCAACACAGCAAGGCAAAGATTCATATCTTTTGTATAGGAGGAGGGATGATGGACGTCGTGTGAAAGTAAGAGGTGCCGAGTTGGACAATAGGTGGGTGGTTTCATACAATCCTGGGCTGCTTATGACATATAATTGCCACATAAATGTTAAAGCTTGCTCAAGCATCAAAGCTTGTAAGTACTTGTTTAAGTATGTACACAAAGGCCACGACTGTGCATCATACTCTGTTGATCCTGCTGGAGTGATCAATGAGATCCATAAGTACAGGGATGCTAGATACATATCACCCCCGGAAGCTATACATAGGATTTTCGGCTTCCACCTTTTTGGAGTTTGTCCATCTGTTTTGCAGCTCCAGTGCCATCTACCTAATATGCAGTCTGTTATTATTGAGGAGACAACCAATATCAAGGATGTTGTAAAAAAGCCATCCGTAACTATGACGACACTCACGGAATACTTCACATTGAACCATGTTGATAGTTATGCAAGAAATTTTTGTATAGAGAGATCCTAGAACACTACCGGTGGATTAGTGGTAAGAAGGCGTGGCAGAGAAGAAAGCAGAGGGGACAGGTGGGGCGTATTGTGTATGCACACCCGGCTAAAGGAGAAAGATATTTCTTGAGAGTACTTTTAAATCACGTACGAGGTGCAACCTCATTTGAATTTATGGACAGTTGCTGGAATCATGTACCCTACTTTCAGAGAAACATGCGAGAAGAGAGGACTCGTAGAAAGGGATCAGACTATTGATGACTGCTTGAGTGAGGCAACAACTTTTTAGATGCCAGCAGCTCTACGACGGTTATTTGCGACTATCCTTGTGTTTTGTGAGGCCACCAACATCCATGGATGGTGGGACAACATAAGGAATCTTTCTCTGAAGATTATAACCAAAACAATCCTAACATAGCAGCAGTAGAACAAATGGTTTTCAGAGACATTCGGGATTTACTTCAGTCAATGGGAAAGGATATCAGGAATTATGATCTACCTGAGCTAAATGATATAGGTAATATTTTCAGCAGTAATATTATTCTAAAAAATATTTTATTGTCTGGTACAATACATAATTCTAATAGTTTAATATTTGGATGTCAATTAAGTAACTATTTCATATTTATTTACTGATTTCATTATCATTTTCTTGTGTGAAGCAGATGAATTTAACAATGACATTATGAAAGAGGTTAGGGAGGAACTGGCTGTGCCTATCGACCAAGAACATTTGGATATGTATGCATCTCTTAACAACGAACAACGTGAAGGATTTGATTAAATATTAAATTGCGTACTGAATAAGAAGAGCCATGTGTTTTTCGTGGATGGTCCAGGAGGAACAAGAAAGACATTGCTATATAAGGCACTTCTTGGTAGAGTGCGCTCAGAGGGATTAATTGCCATTGCCATTGCCATTGCAACTTCGGGTATTGCGGCGTCGATATTGCCTAGAGGACGCATAGCACACTCAAGGTTCAAAATCCCAATTAAGCTTGCTGACAATAGCACATGCAGCTTCACAAAGCAAAGTGGCACTACAGAGTTACTGTGTACGGCATCCTTGATTATCTGGGATGAAGTAGCAATGACAAAGCGACTAGCAATTGAGTGTCTTGATAGGTCCCTCTAAGATATTATGAATTCTTGTTTGCCATTTGGTGGAAAGGTTATGGTATTTGGTGGAGATTTTAGACAGGTGCTACCTGTGGTACCACGTGGGACAAGAGCACAGGTAACAGATGCTACATTACAGGGATCTTATTTGTGGGAAAGAATAAGGAAGATACGGTTGTCACGTAACATGTGGGCTTAGTCTGATCCATGGTTTGCAGATTACCTCCTTAGAATCGGGAATGGACCTGAAGAGACAATTGGAGATGATTATGTACTCCTTCCAGATGATATTTTGATTGGCTATACCAACAACGAAGAATCAGTAAACAAGCTCATTCAAGAAGTCTTCCCATCACTTGAGAAAAATGCAAGATCACCAGCTTATATGAGCACACGTGCCATCCTATCTACCACAAATGAGCATGTGGATTAGCTAAATGCAAGTATGATTGACAAGTTTCTAGGTGAGGAAAAGGTTTATCATAGCTTTGACTCTGTCGATGATGACTCAAGGAATAACTACCCTATTGACTTCTTGAACTCCATCACTCCAAATGGTCTCCCCCACATGAGCTCAAAATAAAAACCAACTGCCATGTGATCCTTCTCCGCAATCTTGATCCTAACAATGGTTTGTGCAATGGAACAAGACTAATGGTTAGAGCATTCCAAGACAATGCAATTGACATAGAAATAGTTAGTGGGCAATATGCAGGGAAAAGGGTGTTCATATCTAGGATCCCTATGTCTCCAATAGATGATATTTCACTTCCTTTCAAGTTGAAAAGGAAGCAATTCCCAATTCGTTTGAGCTTTGCGATGATAATAAATAAAGCTCAGGGGCAAACCATCCCACATGTTGGGATCTATCTTCCAGAGCCAGTGTTCTCACATGGGCAGCTCTATGTTGCCTTGTCAAAGGGTGTGTCCAGGCAAACAACAAGAATTTTGGCTAAACCAAACAAGGAATTAGATCCAACAGGGAAGTGCACAAAGAATATAGTGTATAAAGATGTCCTAGAATGGTGACAAGGTGGTAAGTAATGTCCTAAATGACTATTTTTTAATCTCTATAATCCTTGTCAATTTAATTAGTTGACCAAAAAAATTCTATTGCCATTGATTTGTGTATTGATTTGCATCCATCAGTAAAAACTAAAATACTAAGACGGAGAGAAGGCTTCGGCAAAACCCTCAGGGAGCAGAGATCAAGGCTTTATATTACCTCGAGATTCATTCTTATGCTGATCCAGTGGCATGACTGGCAAAGAACAGTTTTGGCTCCTGATTTCTTCTTTGCTCTTCCAGCTATCATGTTGTTTTTTCTTTCCAGGCTTCCAGCTCCAGCTAATAGATTGGTAGTGAAATTGTGTATATGGACCACCATGCTGAAACATGAATCGATCTTCAGTTTTGTCCCTCTCATTATTTGTCTTCTTGTGTATCAGTTTACACAATAATAAAAAAATTCGCTCAATGAAATTGTTTGTCTTCTTGTGTATCACCTAAAAAACACAAAATTTTGAAGGTAAAAACACGCACTAACTTTACTATGCCTTCTTATGCAAAAATGTTTTCCGGATTGTATACATGATCAAATACAATTGTGTAAAAGTTGAACTATGGAAAAAACATTGGTTGTTTTCATGTGCATCACCAAGATAAAACCGTGGCGTTAGCATGGGCATTATACTAGTATATGAAAAGCAACGACATAGAAAATTGAGTGTAGCTTGGTTGGTTAGTTTTTTTGGTAGAGCTTGTCCACTTAGGTAACTCCTAGATTTGGCATTGGTGCTTGATTTTTTCAATCTTAAGATTTACCTGCTCAATCTTTCAGAGATACTCTTATAGATAGAGTGTGTGTCATGTGTTCTTGTGTGTATTTTGTGTAGCGCATTGCATCAAGTTAACATGGTTATATAGCTACTTAGCATGGTAACATAATATTTTGTTAACATGTTAACTTGATCAGAATTACTAGACAATACTCCCACCATATCGTGAAATATAAGGAATCCATAGTTCAAAATTTACACCAAAATATAAGGTATTCTGGATCCTTAACTCTTTTCTCATTTTATTTTATTGTTTCAAGAAATATTGAGATTCCATTTAAACTTGGTATCATCTAAAACAATCAGCTGGTAATAACTAAGAAAAGTAGTAACTCAACTACTCCACATCCTAACTATCAACCGACAGCCTAGCGCCCGGGTGCCTGGCTTCAGCGCGCGTCCGGACGCACCTAGCGCTCGACCGGCTTCAGCGTGTTGTCCCGTTTTGATTCAAGTGAGACGCACCAATCCGAACATAGCTTCACTGTCTAGTCATGGCATCCCACACTCGCGGGCGGCCGATCCCTTCGCCGTGCTGCATCCCACAGCACCACTCGTCCCCCAGCCATCCCGTCGCACCGCCCGTCCCCCAGCCATCCCACCCCACGGAGCCCATCCCCTCACGGTGCCCCTCCACAGCAATCATCACGCCTAGATGTCTCATCTCCTCTCCAACATGGAGTTCCCCGTGGGGCATCGTCCCCCGTCGATTGTTGAGGGCCATGAACCAGATCCATGGTTAGAGGGATGCAAGGAGGGCTCAAGCTTCGTCTATGGCGGATTGGATTCTCATGTTGCAATTGCTAGGGGCAAGGAGGTGGTGGAGACGAACCCTTCTTCTTCAAAACAACATGTAAGATGTACATCTATGACCTCATGTCACAATTTGCTTGAGTTGTCTTGTTTCAGACTACAAATTTCTGAACATTGGCAATTTGGAACCATACTTTTGCAGTAGATGC